GAGGTCTCACTGTTGGAGGATATAGGAAGCCACCTATACCTAAAGCATCATTTTTGGGTGGACTTGACCTTTTTTTGTGTCTGCATATTGCGCTTGCTGCTGCCATATTGGCCTGCCCAAGATGTATCCACAGGGTGCATTAGTAGTGAAGGGTGTGGCTATACAGCTAAAAGCAAATTTCTCCAACTATTTTTTTCCTTTGACTCTCTTGTATGACCGAACAGAAAATGGTACATGTACAGTTTTTATAGAAATATATATATTTTTTTATTTTTATTTTTTAATTCACAAAATATAAGAATCTGGAAAGTAGTCAACTCTATCAATATAAACAGTGATAATAAGCCACAAAAATATTAATAAAAAATATATATAAATGAAAAAAAATAATAAAAAAAAAATTAATTAAAATAAAGAATATTTAAAAAAATATAAATAAAACAAAATTATGTGTGGAAAAAACCCAAATTGTGATCTGAAAATGAATCTTCTAAATAAATCCAAAAAGTCACTAAAAAACATCCAGTGTCCAAAAAAATATATTTTTCTTATGTAGTGAACTGTCCAAAGATATGCCTAGTCATACACGCATATCTTTGGACAGTTCACTACATAAGAAAAATATATATTTTTTTTATATTTAGACGATTCATTTTCAGATCACAATTTGGGTTTTTGCACACATAATTTTGTTTTATTTATATTTTTTTTAATGTGTGCAAAAACCCAAATTGTGATCCAAAAATGAATCTTCTAAATAAATCCAAAAAGTCACTAAAAAACATTGAGTGTTCCAGTGTCCAAAAAAAAATATTTTTCTTATGTATTGAACTGTCCAAAGATATGCGTGTATGACTACGCATATCTTTGGACAGTTCACTACATAAGAAAAATATTTTTTTTTTATTTAGAAGATTCATTTTCAGATCACAATTTGGGTTTCTGCACACATAATTTTGTTTTATTTGGGTTTTTGCACACATTAAAAAAAATATAAATATAAACAAAATTATGTGTGCAGAAACCCAAATTGTGATCTGAAAATTAATCTTCTAAATAGAAAAATATATATATATTTTTCTTATGCAGTGAACTGTCCAAAGATAAATGTGTATCACTACGCATATCTTTGGACAGTTCACTACATAAGAAAAATATATTTTTTTGGACACTGGAATTTTGTTGTATTTATATTTTTTTTATACTATTTATTTTTTTTATTTATATTTTTTTTATTAATATTTATGTGGCTTATTATCACTGTTTGTATTGCTAGAGTTGACTATGTACTTTCCAGTTTCTTATATTTTGTGAATTAAAAAAATAAAAATCAAAAAAAATATATATTTCTATAAAAACTGTACATATACCATTTTCTGTTCAGTCATACAAGAGCGTCAATGTACAGTTTTTATAGAAATATATATTTTTTTATTTTTATTTTTTTTTAATTCACAAAAAATAAGAAAATGGAAAGTACATAGTCAACTCTATCAATATAAACAGTGATAATAAGCCACATAAATATTAATAAAAAAATATATAAATTAAAAAAAAAAATATTAAAAAAATATAAATACAACAACATTCCAGTGTCCAAAAAAATATATTTTTTATTCTTATGTAGTGAACTGTCCAAAGATATGCGTAGTGATACACGCTTATCTTTGGACAGTTCACTGCATTAGAAAAATAAATATATTTTTTTTTATTTAGATGATTCATTTTCAGATCACAATTTGGGTTTCTGCAAACATAATTTTGTTTTATTTATATTTTTTTTTAATGTGTGCAAAAACCCAAATAAAACAAAATTATGTGTGCAGAAACCCAAATTGTGATCTGAAAATGAATCTTCTAAATAAAAAAAAAATATATATATTTTTTCTTATGCAATGAACTGTCCAAAGATAAGCGTGTATCACTACGCATATCTTTGGACAGTTCACTACATAAGAAAAATATATTTATTTGGATACTGGATGTTTTTTAGTGACTTTTTAAATTTATGTAGAAGATTAATTTTCGGATCGCAATTTGGGTTTTTGCACACATTAAAAAAAAATATAAATTGTGATCCGAAAATTAATCTTCTACATAAATCCAAAAAGTCACTAAAAAACATCCAGTGTCCAAAAAAATATATTTTTCTTACGTAGTGAACTGTCCAAAGAAATGCGTAGTCATACACGCATATCTTTGGACAGTTCACTACATAAGAAAAATATATATTTTTTTTTTTATTTAGAAGATTCATTTTCAGATCACAATTTGGGTTTCTGCACACATAATTTTGTTTTATTTATATTTTTTTTAATGTGTGCAAAAACCCAAATTGTGATCCAAAAATGAATCTTCTAAATAAATCCAAAAAGTCACTAAAAAAAATCCACTACATAAGAAAAATATATTTTTTTGGACACAATGTTTTTTAGTGACTTTTTGGATTTATTTTTTCAATGTGTGCAAAAACCCAAATTGTGATCAGAAAATGAATCTTCTAAATAAATCCAAAAAGTCACTAAAAAACATTGCGTCCAAAAAAAATATATTTTTCTTATGTAGTGGATGTTTTTTAGTGACTTTTGGATTTATTTAGAAGATTCATTTTCGGATCACAATTTGGGTTTTTGCACACATCATTTTGTTTTATTTATATTTTTTTTTAATGTGTGCAAAAACCCAAATTGTGATCCAAAAATGAATCTTCTAAATAAATCCAAAAAGTCACTAAAGAACATCCACTACATAAGAAAAATATATTTTTTTGGACACAATGTTTTTTAGTGACTTTTTGGATTTTATTTTTTCAATGTGTGCAAAAACCCAAATTGTGATCAGAAAATGAATCTTCTAAATAAATCCAAAAAGTCACTAAAAAACATTGCGTCCAAAAAAATATATTTTTCTTATGTAGTGGATGTTTTTTAGTGACTTTTGGATTTATTTAGAAGATTCATTTTCGGATCACAATTTGGGTTTTCTGCACACATAATTTTGTTTTATTTATATTTTTTTTTTTAATGTGTGCAAAAACCCAAATTGTGATCCAAAAATGAATCTTCTAAATAAATCCAAAAAGTCACTAAAAAAACATCCACTACATAAGAAAAATATATTTTTTTTGGACACAATGTTTTTTAGTGACTTTTTGGATTTATTTTTTCAATGTGTGCAAAAACCCAAATTGTGATCAGAAAATGAATCTTCTAAATAAATCCAAAAAGTCACTAAAAAACATTGCGTCCAAAAAAATATATTTTTCTTATGTAGTGGATGTTTTTTAGTGACTTTTGGATTTATTTAGAAGATTCATTTTCGGATCACATTTTGGGTTTTTGCACACATCATTTTGTTTTATTTATATTTTTTTTAATGTGTGCAAAAACCCAAATTGTGATCCAAAAATGAATCTTCTAAATAAATCCAAAAAGTCACTAAAAAACATCCACTACATAAGAAAAATATATTTTTTTGGACACAATGTTATTTAGTGACTTTTTGGATTTATTTATAAGATTCATTTTCGGATCACAATTTGGTTTTTTTCACACATTAAAAAAATATAAATAAAACCAAATGATGTGTGCAAAAACCCAAATTGTGATCTGAAAATGAATATTCTAAATAAAAAAATATATATATTTTTCTTATGTAGTGAACTGTCCAAAGATATGCGTGTATGACTACGCATATCTTTGGACAGTTCGCTACATAAGAAAAATATATTTTTTTTTTTATTTAGAAGATTAATTTTCATCTCACAATTTGGGTTTTTGCACGCATCGTTTGGTTTTACTTATATTTTTTCAATATTTTTTTATTTTAATTTTTTATTATTTTTTCACATATATTTTTTTATTTTAATTTATTTTTTTATTATTTTTCACATATATATTTTTTTTTATTTTAATTTATTTTTTTATTATTTTTTCACATATATATTTTTTTATTTTTTCACATATATATTTTTTTATTTTAATTTTTTTTTTTATTATTTTTTCACATATATATTTTTTTATCAATATTTATATGGCTTATCATCACTGTTTGCACTTAGTGAGAAGGAGTGGTTTTTTACACTACATAACTATCAATATATTTGTATATTTATAAATTTTCTCTGTAGGTGATGATGAGGAGCACCAGGATCTGGCGGGCGCTTCCTTGACCCTGGTGAAGGAACTCATCTCCTCCATCGACCAGGACGTCTACCACTACGAGAAGAACCTGCGCCTGCAGGAGATCTACCAGAAAGTGGACAGCAAGTCAGCCGCCTTCGTCCAAGGCGATTATTGCTTCGGCAAAGAGGAGCTACTAAGACGGAAGCTCGTCCATGAAGGGTCCCTGCTGTGGAAGACTGCCGCTGGCCGTTTCAAAGGTACAAGGGGGGCTTGCGACGGAGGTGTAACCCTTGAGGCCAGCTTTGTCATGCTACTTTTTCGCTGTGAACTAAAATGGTGCTGGTTTCCAGCCATCATCAATCCAGGTCAAAATTTGTAGTTCTTAGAAGGCCTATGACCTTCAAGTTAGAGAACGCTTGTTAGCGGCACAAACTGTCAGGAATTCTTGAAAAGATTTCAAAAAAAGAGTAGCAGGACCTCTATTGGGTTATTGGCAAGAAAAATACAAGGATTGTAGTCATTCCCTACTCTTTTTTTCCAAAATAAAAAATTGTGATATTGATTGTAGATCTTCTCTCACCCAGATGTCATCATGCTGCTAATGACAGATGTCCTGATTCTTCTCCAAGAAAAGGACCAAAAATACTACTTTCCAACCCTGGTAAGAGTTCATAAGACCACCTTCAATGACCCCATTGGAAGTCCTCCAGAGGGTCTTCTGATTGATCTTTGAAGAGATTTAGTTGATAACCAATTTTTCCTTCTCCCAATTTGTTGTAGGACAAGTCAGCCGTGATTTCATTACAAAACCTCATTGTCAGGGACATCGCCAATCAGGAGAAAGGGATGTTTCTGATCAGTGCTAAGCCTCCAGAGATGTATGAAGTTCACTCGGCCTCACGGGAGGAGAGGAACACATGGATGAAGGTCATTGCACAGTCAGTAAAAGTGTAAGTATGATTATCGAACAGAAGACTTGTATACTTTTAACCAAGAGGAATTGGAATGGGAGGCTAGATGGGTCCACCAGAATCAGAGGAGATACAGGTCCACCAATGGGAGGCTAGATGAATCAGAGGAGATACAGGTCCACCAGAATGGGAGGCAATACGGGTCCACCACCAGAATCAGAGGAGATACAGGTCCACCAGAATGGGAGGCGATACAGGTCCACCAGAATGGGAGGCGATACAGGTCCACCAGAATCAGAAGAGATACAGGTCCACCACAATGGGAGGCGATACAGGTCCACCAGAATCAGAAGAGATACAGGTCCACCAGAATCAGAGGAGATACAGGTCCACCAGAATGGGAGGCTAGATGGGTCCACCAGGATCAGAGAAGATACAGGTCCACCACCAGGATCAGAAGATACAGGTCCACCAGAATGGGAGACAATACGGGTCCACCAGAATCAGAAGAGATACAGGTCCACCAGAATCAGAGGAGATACAGGTCCACCAGAATCAGAGGAGATACAGGTCCACCAGAATCAGAGGAGATACAGGTCCACCACAATGGGAGGCAATACGTGTCCACCAGAATCAGAGGAGATACAGGTCCACCAGAATGGAAGGCAATATGGGTGCAGCAGAATGAGAGGCTATACAGATCCCCAGTCAGCCAGTCTCTGAGATGCATTTAACGTCTTTTGACCTTTTTCTTTCCCTTCAGATGTCCAAAACGGGAGGAATTCCCTCTGATTGAAACTGAAGTGGAAGCCAAATTGAGGAAATTGAAAGGTAAGTGCTGTACTTCTTCTACATTGAAGGTGTCTAAAGCCAAAAACAAAAAATTGTAAAACTAGTTATTGTGGACATATAAGCTGAGTGTGAATCAAAACTCACAATCGTATATGGGGTTGTCACCTTTCGTCAAGCACCTGATGGTCTGTGAGAGCCAATTAAATTTGTGTACCATGCAGGGATATTAGAACTGGTGACCGAGTGCAGCCGGGTGGGAGGAAGCCTACAGGGCCATTCCCTAAGTGAATTTTGTTCGGTTTATGAGGAACGAGCAGAAACTCAAACAGTAAGGCCAGCTTAAAGGATAAGTTCACCGGTGGGACTTGTAACGTGTTCCCATACCCGCCACACCCCCACCCTCCCTCTGACAGCACGGGGAGAAGTCACTATCTGTGGCCCACGTCACAGTGCCTACAAGTCTCAGCAGCCTTAGGGGCTGGCGGCTTGTAGTTCAGAATGATCACCCACGTTGCTGTGTTAGCTATTTAAAGCTTCTGGTCAGCAGATCTGCTTGGCCATACATCCCGTATGGCAAACAGATATTCTGACAGGTCTGCAGAAAACCAGCATGGCATCGGCCATCTACTGATAGCTGGTGCAATGCTTTACAGGTTCCAAAAAGTGAACTTCTCCTTTAAGTCAGGACACAGCTGCACCATGGTCAACTGATAAGAGTCTATGTCTACTCGCTTTGACCCACACACCCAAAAGACACTTGCACCATGCTCTTTGTATATGGTCATGGGTCAAGGGCCAAAGTCAACATTATGAATGCAGAGAAAACCCATCTTAGTGAAATGTGGTTGGATTACCGCCTTCCATTGCTTGAACCATTGATGGTCTTATTACTGCCAACTCTTAAAGTGCCTTGGAAGAGCAATTTGGGGATGTGGAGCACCTTAAAAGCTGTAAGGCCACTGAAGCTATGGACATTTTCAGTAGTGCCAAAGAACCATCCTCTTCCTATAGAGCAGTAGATCCCAATCGCAGCATAAAAGATGGAGAATACGATTGGATGTGGAAGGTGGCCATTTTTTTTTTCTTTCTCTCCCCCCCCCCCCCCCCCCCCCCCTATACCTGTGGTTTGGACTTTAACCGTTGTGTCTGCTCTCTGGCAGAGGTCATACAGCAGAGGGACACAGAGGTGGCGACCATCCTGGAGGAGAAGGTGACGCTGTTTTCAAAGGTGCTACAACTGCAGGCAGGAGAGGACGCTCCAGTCATGGGGAACACCCGCAAACTGTTCCGGACAGAATCAACAGACAGCTACCGCGGGGAGAAACTCATCAATGAGGCCATCAAAGAAGGTGAGACACCTGGAAGAGGAATGAGAATTAGAGCTTCAGCTACTAGTCACACCAGTCTCTGCATCTGAGGAGCTTACACTCTAATGTCCCCTCCCCACAGTTCCATCAGTCTCTGTACCAGAGGAGCTTACACTCTGTCCCCTCCCCCACAGTCCCATCAGTCTCTGTACCAGAGGAGCTTACACTCTAATGTCCCCTCCCCCACAGTCCCATCAGTCTCTGTACCAGAGGAGCTTACACTCTAATGTCCCCTCACAGTCACGCACTATCATTATTATACATTTATATAGCTCTGACATATACCGCAGCGCTGTACAGAAAACACTGAGCCAGTCCCATCAGTCTCTGTACCAGAGGAGCTTACACTCTAATGTCCCCTCCCCCACAGTCCCATCAGTCTCTGCACCAGAGGAGCTTACACTCTAACGTCCCCTCTCCATAGTCACATGAGTCTCTGTACCAGAGGAGCTTACGCTCTAATGTCCCCTCCCCCGCAGTCCCATCAGTCTCTGTACCAGAGGAGCTTACACTCTAATGTCCCCTCCCCCCACAGTCACATTAGTCTCTGTACCAGAGGAGCTGACGCTCTAATGTCCCCTCCCCCACAGTCCCATCAGTCTCTGTACCTGAGGAGCTTACACTCTAATGTCCCCTCCCCCCACAGTCCCATCAGTCTCTGTACCTGAGGCGCTTATACACTCATGTCCCTTCCCCCACAGTCCCATCGGTCTTTGCACCAGAGGAGCTGACACTCTCATGTCCCCTCCCCCACAGTCTCATCGGTCTCTGCACCAGAGGAGCTTACAATCTAATATTGCCCTGCCCACAGTCACAAACTATTGTTAATATACAGTTGTATGGCTCTGACATATACCGCAGTGCTGTACAGAGAAATACTGAAACGGTCACATTGTTCTCTGCAGCAGAGGAGCTTACACTCTATCATTTCTGTGTGTTGTGCATTAGCAGTAGATGTAGCACTGACTGTCCTCTGTTTTCCTCCCACAGTGGAAGCCTTGAAGGACGTCATTATAACGATCGGAAACGAGCAGCCGCTTACAGTCGATCACAATCACACGTCTGTCCCATCCAGTAACCCCACACGTGAGTGCCGAGCAGAGGGTACTGCTCCCTGTTTTTCCCCATCTCGAGGGCTATGTCAGCCAATTGGTTGAGTCTTAGTACATGTCCCTCTCTAACAAATGTCATACCAGGGGGGAGAAATTCTCAACTTTTGTAATTAGTTTTTATTACCCGCTTTGTTCTTGGTGTCCAATAGTATATTGTCTAATAAAAATATCGTAGCCCACAAGGGCATCCTATTAAATTAAAGCTGTAGTACACATCTATCAAGGAAAAGGTGGAACGAAATGTCTCACCCGGGGGGTGTCTAGATGTGGCCATTCCGCCACAGCAGAAGCAGTTTGGGGTCTATGGAAAGTCACCAGGGAAGTGCAGGTACAGATGCATCTATGGAATGCCCTTTGTGACACTGGTGGTGGTGGAAGCCCAGGGCCATCATCAGGGGACATTTCCTAATACTAGTAAGGCTAGTGGTTTTAGGAAAACTTTGTTCTGGGAATTTGTTCATTGACCCTAATAGGTCTTCTCTTTCTTGACAGATGGTGACTCGAGCAGTGTGAATGGAGCCCTGGACAAGGACGAGGACCAGAAGGTGAGGCATGGACAGCGGCAACCCACCAATGATGGTCATGGGAAATCCAAAAGTTGTCACCAGAATATGGAAATTTTTCAACACCTCTTTAGCTGACAACAAAGGAGAATTCCTCTCACTTCCTGTTCTGGGGGTGTAGATATGGTTCCCCTGCCAGAGCGTCTGCTAGCGTGGACAAGGGTTGCAAACGCCTTACATGGCTGCGTGGGCAAACCACAACAGAGCGGCTGAGACTGTAAGATGTGATGGAGCAGCCAAGAGTCCTCCACAGCTGAGGAAGACTGTATAATGGGGGGGGGGGTCAGCAACTGGTCCACCATAGCCATGCTACTGCCTGCATCTGCCCCTGCCTGCCACACAGAGTTGGGTCCTGCTCTGCAGGTCAGTTTGCCCACACACGTCTAGTGCTTTGTCTGTGGCTCCCCGTACCATAGATTGGCTGATGGGGAAGCAGGGCCAGGCATGGTGGACGCTGGGGAGGATGTTGGACTCCACTTGGCCACTGGTGACCCCAATAAAGGACAATAATTCTAAAATTCTGCATTACCCAAACCAGCCTGGCCACCTTCTTCTGCTTTCCCTGAGACAGTGACAGGTCCTGAATGTGGGGGGGTGTCCCTAGTGTAGGATGGAAGCTAGTGTTAACTGACCTCTGACAACCCCCAACCCCCCCCCCCATACAGGGGATCCAAAAAAAAAAAAGATTTGGGGGTTTTATTAAAAATCTTCCATTCTATTTCTACAGGACCGGAACGGCAATCAGCTGCAGAATAAGAGCCCTCAGGAGGTGAGAGCCACGTTTTAGGGGCCAAACTGGCACCAGCATTTTATTCCGACCTAAACCTGGTTTTTATGTGACATGTACCTGGGCCTTGTACTTTAAAGAGACCCTGTCACCAGACCGTTCAATTTAACAATTTTCCCAAAAGACTACACAGTAGGTGCAGTTAATATATGTTATGAGTGTTATTTAGGCCTCATTCACACGGATGTAGTACAGCATACCCTCAGGCAAGGGCCTTGTGCGCCTACACAGGTGGTCCGTGCAACCCCATGCTGGTGGTCCTATTCGTTGGGATAAAGCAGCCGCACCAACACAGCCACTGCTCCCAATTTGACAGCCGAGTGGGTGCGTGTCCCCAAACGCAGACAGCTGCATGCAGGGATCTGCTCCACTGTCATACTGGGAGTAACGGCTGTGTCCACGCAGCCGCTTTGCCCCAATTGACATGAATGGGACCACCTATGCAAGCATACCAGGTCCTTGAATGGGTGTATGCTGTAATACGCCCCCTATGAACAAACGTCCCTAAGCTCCAAGATGGACTCATCTTGGATGTAATATCAACAGCCCCAGCAGACGCACAGCTGTCACTCAAGTGACACTCTATAGCAGCCATTCTCAACTAGGCTTCCATGACACCCTAGGGTTCTTCCAGAGGTCATTGAGCTGTGGTTGATTGACCTTCCATTTGATGGTTCCTGCATAATTGTGGGTGGATCTACCACCACATGGAGTCAGCAGCATGACACCAATGTACGAGAACATTCTTCCCACTGACCGCCAACGTAAGGGACATTCTGACTGCCAACGTGAGAGACATCCTTTCCCCTGACCGCCAACGTAAGGGACATTCTGACCCCCAACTTGAGAGGCATCCTATCACCTGACCGCCAACGGGAGGGGCATTCTTCCCCCTGACCGCCAACGCGAGGGGCATTCTTCCCCCTGACCGCCAATGTGAGGGGCATTCTTCCCCCCAACGTGCCCCCCAACGCGAGGGGCATTCTTCCCCCTGCCCCCCAACGCGAGGGGCATTCTTCCCGCTGGTCCCCAACATGAGGGGCATTCTTGCCCCTGACCCCCAATGTGTGGGGCATTCTTCCCCCCAACGTGGTGGTTCTTGCATAATTCTGGGTCCTCCACCGCATGGAGTCAGCAGCATGACACCAATGTTGGAGAACATTCTACCCCCTGACCGCCAACGTGAGAGGCATTCTTCCCACTGACCGCCAACGTGAGGAACATCCTTCCCGCTGACCGCCAACGTGAGGAACATCCTTCCCCCTGACCGTCAACGTGAGAGGTATTTTTCCCCCTGACCCCCAATGTGAGGGGCATTCTTCCCCCTGACCCCCAATGTGAGGGGCATTCTTCCCCCTGACCCCCAACATGAGAGGCATTCTTCCCCTGACTGCCACCGTAAGGAACATACTTTCCCCCTGACCCCCCAACCCCCAACGTAAGGAACATACTTTCCCACTGACCGAGGTTAATTTTTGCTGTGGTTCCCTAAGACCTAAAAATAAATACAAGGGTTCCTCTGTGGTGAGAAGGTTGAGAAAAGCTGTTCTATGTAGCTGCCAGGGAGGAATGAAGGGAAATACAATAAAGGCTATATAGGGAGGGGAGGAGCTGGGCCAGCACAGACAGTAATTAGACATTCCCAGGAGAGGGGCTATGACATGCAAGGAGAGGGCTGTGCTATGACTACTCTTCTTGAAGTAGTCAGATTTGCTTTAATGGAATGTCTGTCCCTGCAGCTACACATACTCATCCACATTTCACTACCCCATGGTGGTGCTCCTTTAAGTAACTCCCACATGGTGGTGCTCCTTTAAGTAACTATGTATTTTTAAAAAATGTGTTGAGTAAAGCTCTTTTTATGTTTCAGGAGGCTCTGCAAAGGATCTCCAACTTGTACAGCTTGTTGCATGGACTCCAGGTGAGTGGACACACTCATAGCTGGCCTCCAGCTGCTGAGGAACTACAATGTTCAGCATGCCAGCCCATGGGAGTTGTAGTCCCTTAAAAGCAAAACTCCAGCCAAAGTTTTTATTGCTGAGACTGAAGTCGTGATTGAGGAGTCAGCAGTGCCCTCTCCCCCCCCCCCCCCCCCCCCCCCCCCCCCCCCCCCCCCCCCCCCCCCGACGGCCGGGTGCTGACAGTAACATCTCCCTCTCTTCGGCAGGTGGTGGTGGCCCAGCAGGACAGTCTGTTGAGTCTACAGATCCCAGACAACACGGACAAGAAAGACAACTTGAACCGCACCGACAAGAAAGAGAACCTGTCCCGCACCAACTCCCGCGACCTGTCCGTAGTCGAGCCCTTATCCAAGAGCATGGACAAGTCTGGCACCGAGCTGACCCTTCTCCAGCGACAGCACACCCTGCTGCAAGAGGAGCTGCGCCGCTGCAGGCGACAGTGCGAGGAGCGGGTGCAGGAGGCAGGAACCTTGGAGGCGCGGCTCAGAGAGAGCGAGCAGATGCGGAACAGACTGGAGCGGGAGCTGGAGGAGGGGAAGAAGCAGCTGGCCTCCCTGCACAAAGGCAACGGGGTGACTGATATTGGCAGAAGTCCGAGAGGGACCGACCCAAGACGGCGAAGTCTGCCAGCCGGAGACGCCCTGTACCAAACCTTCACTCCTCCCCAGGTACGTGCCGGACACGATCGCCATTCTGACCGACCTGATGTATTAGTCCAGTACATCCCTGTTAAGGACAAACAGTCCCACAGATGGTCATTACTGACTTTGCCCGTCTTGTTTCTGCTCAGATAAACCATGACCGCCGATCCCTGGCTACCGTGGATGGCCCGATCCCCATCATCACCTTACAGGAGGACTCTGACCTGAAAGACGACTTCAGCGACCTCACCGAGCTGGAGAGGCTTCCAGAGACCGTAGACACAGAGTCCTCAGAGGAAGAGGGAGGAGGGCCGCCAACGTCACCATCAGGCACGCGAGGTGAGTGGGGGAAATGTGTGAAAACATTTAAAGAATAATAGAAATTCGAGCAAACGTGTAAATCAAATCTTTTACCTTGCTTCTACTGACCCATGAGCGTTCTACTGCTCAACGAGATGGAAGGTTCTAACTCTTGCTATTATTAAGTGTGACCTCCTTATGTAGAGTTCCTTTTTAGTTTCTGTTCAGCCCGACACCTATCAGACAGCAAAGTAGAGGAAAGCTCCACCCTAGGGACATGGACAGTGTCAGGGCAGGGCTGTGGAACGTAGTCACAGGTAGGCCTAGTGGCAGGGTAACGCACTGGCCCTGACGACAACACCACCACCACAGACCGAAGTCCCTCAGGGCGCGGAGTCCAAGTCCCAGGCTGCCCTTCACCAGGGCCCCTGATGGTGGGGATTGACTTGACGCAGCCAGGAACCAGGTCGCGGCCCCCGAGACACCCCGGCTGTGGTAATGGCCGCCGCCAATGGCATGTAGCTGGTGAGAATGACAATAGCGTAGTCAGGCAAGCTGGGTCAACAACAACGGGACAAAGTCAGTACAGAACAGTAGACAGAGAATCACAGGTCACGGGCCGGGTTCAGCAACGACGAAGGTCAGATCGAAGGAAAACACAGAGAATGGTCTAGTCACAAGCCGAGTCAAATACCAGAAGAGTCATGAGCATATACACAGAGCTGTAGCAAGACAAAGACACAAGTGCAAAGAGCATGTGTGGATCACAGGCTTATATGTACTCAGCCACACCCCTCTGGAGGATGGACCTCAGAGACCTGAAGGCATAAAAGCTTCCCACCATGCTCAGCATAAATCCAAGATGGATGCCAGCACATGGAGTAGCATAACCTCTGGGAAAAGGTAGGACCTTGACAGACAGCCACAACCATCTAGAGCATTGGTCACCAGATGTGGTCCTTTGCTTGCTTTTATATGGCCCTTGGGGCAATATTTTATCCACTGATATTTTATTGCTACTGACATCGGAACCTTGTGTAGTCCCAGTGGCCCCCCTAAAGTCTGAAGGCCCTTTTGTTTAGAAACCCTTGCTCTAGAGGTTCCCCACTCGACTCAAAACTAGAAACATTTTGCTGCTGTTGGGCATTAATTGATGTCTATAAAGGTTCTCACTTATACCATGACCTGGCTACATGATACCATTGCTAGATGTACCATGACCTGCATATCTAGTAGTAGTTAATCACAGTCAACGGGACTTGTTCTGTAAAGCTGAAGATGTTTCGTAGTTTCTCCAAGCCACTTCAATTGAGCAGCAGGAAATATTTCCAAACATTGATATCCATGGAAGTAGCACCAACACCTTGATCCAAGCACCATGGAATATGTAGATGTTGAAGGTCTAAGAATAGGCTGTGTGAAAGTTGCATGTTCCTATCCTTGGAGTCATTAAGTTTGCAGTTGTTTTTCATTCACATGGTGAAGGTAAGGATTGATGTTAAAAGGTCATTTATATGTGGAAGATGGATGGTGTTGAAGACTCCCATCCCTACTGAATAATGGTCACTCTAGTTTGATGTAGATGGCCTCTTCTGAACCTCCAAAATCTGTCCTCGAAAAAAAAGTGGCCCTTTTTCTTAAGGCATACAAAGACTGACTTGTAGCCTGTGGAATTTACTAGCCTAGATTGGGCCATTTCTTGGTTGTGAGTTCTTCTTTTCTCAATATTCAGGTCTTGGTAGAGGTAGTGTGATGTGGGATACAAAGTTACCTCACTTGTGTTTGGGTGTTGTGTCTTCTGGATATACAAGCTTCTGTTTCAGTGTATTAATGGGCTTGAAGAACAAGGGATGTAATGTTGGGTAAAGATCCTGCTGATACTCCTAAGCAATACACAGAAGCTTGGACATCCAGAAGACCCAACACCTATTCATATGTGAGGTATACTGGTATGTGTAGTGCAATGAAGTGGAGGGATGCAGAGACCTGTACATTGGGAAGACCAACACCCTTTCAAAAATATCCCAATATAGCAAAAACCTGTACATTGGAGACACCGACACACTAATAGACAATGGCCCAACATTTGTGGAGACCAACACTGGTATGTTGGAATATTGTGGAGAGGATGTTGGGCCATTGTCGGGAAGGTGTTGGTCTCCACAATGTTGGGCCATTGTCTATTAGTGTGTCGGTCTCTCCAATGTGCTGGTCTTTGGTATGTTGGAATATTGTGGAGAGGATGTTGGTCTCCCCAAAGACCTGTACATTGGAGAGACCGACACACTAATAGACAATGGCCCCAACATTGTGAAGACCAACACCTTCCCGACAATGGCCCAACATTGTGAAGACCAACACTTTCCCGACAATGGCCCAACATTGTGGAGACCCGCCAATTAACCCAACATTGGGGAGACCCAACACCTTCCCGACAATGGCCCAACATTGGGGAGGAGACCAACATCCTCTCAACAATATCCCAACATAGCAAAGACCTGTACATTGGAGAGACCTGACACACTAATCGACAATGGCCCAACATTGTGGAGACCAACACCTTCCCCACAATGGCCCAACACTGGGGAGACCAACACCTTCCCGACAATGGCCCAACACTGTGGGGACCAACACCTTCCACAATGGCCCAACACTGTGGGGACCAACACCTTCCCGACAATGGCCCAACACTGTGGAGACCAACCACCTTCCCGACAATGGCCCAACACTGTGGAGACCAACACACCTTCCCGAAAAAATGGCCCAACACTGTGGAGACCAACACCTTTCCCGACAATGGCCCAACACTATGGAGACCAACACCTTCCCGACAATGGCCCAACATAGCAAAGACCTGTACATTGGGAAGACTTCCATGTTGGATCATGTCAAGAGTGTGTCTAAGACCTGTACACATGCTCTTGACAATATCCCAACATAACAAGAACCTGTACATTGTTGAGACAGACACACTTTTGAAAACAGCCCGCCATTACTTGTACACTGGGAAGGCCAACACCCTCTCAAAAATTTCAAAACATGGCAAATACCTGTGCATTGGGGAGACCGACCCATTCTCAACAATGGTCCAATGTAAAAAACCTAATTCTACAAGTCAAGACTCAAAAGAATGTCCATTTTCCTTAAAGTGTTAGAAAACTGCTGAGGACACAGAGGTCACATTTTTTGAACAGAGAGGATAGCTGGTTAGTAGGAGGAATGAAAGCGGCCATCTACATCCAACTGGAACAATCATCCACGCCATCTGTCTTCCACAAACCATGTGGACTTTAGGATTCACATATATGCAGACTCCCTCACACTAAGGATGGGATTATGTAACTAGAGCAGGGTGGTTCCACAACTTTCACACCTCCCATCCTGTTCTTGGACAAACAATATCTGCTTTGACACATTCTATGGCGATTGGATGGAAGGGGGTCTGTGTGGATATAAATGCCGAGTGGCTGATACTTATTAGAACTGAAGAATTCGCTTGGTGAAGATAGTAATTGCCTATTCAACATTACAGAACAAGTCCATTTGAATGTGACCATGAATTGATGTCTGAAGGTTCTCATTGCTCCAGGTCATGGTACATCTAGTAGTCTGTCACATTGAACTGGACTTGGTCTGTAATGTTGAAGACACTTCCTAGCCCCTTCTTCAGTTCTATGGAGCATCAGGAAGATACACCATTTATATGCACACAGGTAGCACCAACACTTTCATCGAATCCCCATGGATGTTGTAGATGTCGATTATCTAAGAACAAGCTGAGAGGTGTGAATATTCACATCTCTGGCATCAGGAAGTTTGCAGTTAGTCAATAATTCACAGGGCTGAAGGTATGAAAGGGTAGAGATGTTAAAAACTGCATTATATATGGATGACCAATGGTGGTGTAGAAAGCCTCCACCTCTGTTCAGTGATGGTTGCTTTATGTGCTCCTCACTGTCCATGAAAGAATGTCCCTCTACTTTAAGGTGTAAGAAGACTGATGCATGGCCCATAGAATTTACCAGCCAAGAGTGGGCCATTCCTTGGTAGTTTTCTCCTCCCAATGTTCAAGTCTTTGTATTCCACACCACACTAAGTTGCTCCACTTGTGTTTGGGTGTTGGGTCTTCTGTATGTACAGGCTTCTGTTTCAGCGAATTGCTGGGCTTGACGATCTTGGGATGTGATGTTGAGTAAAGATCCTGTTGATCATTCTAAGCAGTATGCTGAGACAGAAGCTTGTACATCCAGAGGACCCAACACCCAAACACAAGTGAAGGAAGTTGGTATGTGTACTGGAGGATGCAAAGACATGTTCACTGGGGAGACCGACACCCTCTCAACAATGGCCCAACATTGGGGAGACTGCTATGTTTGGGCCATTGTTGAGAGGGTGTCAGTCTCCCCAATGTTGGGCCATTGTCGAGAGGGTGTCGGTCCGCCAATGTACAGTTCTTTGACACCCTCTCGATAATGGCCCAGCATAGCAAAGACCTGTACATTGGGGAGACTGCTATGCTGGGCCATTATCGAGGGGGTGTCAAAGACCTGTACATTGGGGAGACTGCTATGCTGGGCCATTATCGAGGGGGGTGTCAAAGACCTGTACATTGGGGAGACTGGCACCCTCTCAACAATGGCCCAACATAGCAAAGACCCATACATTGGGGAGACCGACACCCTCTTGACAATAGCCCAACATTGGGGAGACTGCTATGTTGGGTCATTGTTGAGAGGATGTCAGTCTCCCCAATGTTGGGCTATTGACGAGAGGGTGTTGGACACCTTCTCAACAATGGCCCAACATAGCAAAGACCTGTACATTGGGGAGATTGACACCCTCTCAAAAATGGGCCAACATGGCAGTCTCCCCAATGTTGGGCTATTGTCGAGAGGGTGTCAGTCTCCCAATGTACAAGTCTTTGCTATGCTGGGCCATTATCAAGAGGGTGTCAAATACCTGTACATTTGGGAGACCGACACCCTCTCGACAATAGCCCAAAATAGGGGGGGGACTGACACCCTCTCAACAATGGGCCAACATAGCAGTCTCCCCAATGTTGGGCTATTGTCGAGAGGGTGTCAGTCTCCCCAATGTTGGGCTATTGACGAGAGGGTGTCGGACACCTTCTCAACAATGGCCCAACATAGCAAAGACCTGTACATTGGGGAGATTGACACCCTCTCAAAATGGGCCAACATGGCAGTCTCCCCAATGTTGGGCTATTGTCGAGAGGGTGTCAGTCTCCCCAATGTACAAGTCTTTGCTATGCTGGGCCATTATCAAGAGGGTGTCAAATACCTGTACATTTGGGACCGACACCCTCTCGACAATAGCCCAAAATAGGGGGGGACTGACACCCTCTCAGCAATGGGCCCACATAGTCTCCCCAATGTTGGGCTATTGTCGAGAGGGTGTCGGTCTCCCCAATGTAAAGGTCTTTGCTATGTTGGGCCATTGTTGAGAGGGTGTCGGTCTCCCCAATGTACAGGTCTTTGACACCCTCTCGATAATGGCCCAGCATAGCAAAGACCTTTACATTGCGGAGACCGAAACCCTCTCGATAATAGCCCAACATTGGGGAGACTGACACTCTCTCAAAAATGGCCCAACATAGTCTCCCGAATGTTGGGCTATTGTCGAGAGGGTATTGGTCTCCCCAATGTGCAGCTCTTTGAAACCCTCTCAACAGTGGCCCAACATAGCAAAGACCTGTACATTGGGGAGACCGACACCCTCTCAACAATAGCCCAACATTGGGAAGACTGCTGTGTTTGGCCATTGTTGAGAGGGTGTCAGTCTCCCCAATGTACAGCTCTGCTATGTTGGGCCATTGTCGAGAGGGTGTCCTACACCCTCTCGACAATGGCCCAACATAGCAAAGACCTGTACATTGGGGAGACTGCTATGCTGGGCTATTATCGAGAGGGTGTCAAAGACCTGTACATTGGGGAGACCAAGAGCCTCTCAAAAACGGCCCAACAGAGGACCAAATTCTACAGGTCAAAACTCAGCAGTCTTCCACACTTAAAAGGACATTCTTTTGAGGACACCGAGGTCACATCTTGAACAGAGTGGACAACTGGTTAGTAGGACCCACTCTTAATAGAACAGTCATCCCTGAAGGGGAGGGGGCCTTCAACACCATCTGTCTTCCACAAGCCATGTGGATTGAAAGATTACCATGTCTGCAGACTCCCCCCACAGACTCCCCCCACAACCAAAGGATGGGATTAGGTAACTAGAACAAGGTGTTTCCACAACTTTACCACCTCCCTTGTGTTCTTGGACAATCAACATCTGCTTTGACACATTCCTTGGTGATTGGATGAAGGTGTCTGTCTGGGTTCCTGAAGCACATTAGAAACTAGGAAAGGTCTTCAACATTACAGGGTGAGTCCAGTTGACCTTGACCAACCGACCAACCGACCAACACCGCTTGGTGATACCCCTCTGTTGTCCAACATGTTGTTCTCACACCTTGTGTCTGACCTTCCCCAGAATTCCAGAGAATGCAGGACATTCCGGAGGAGGCGGAGAGCACGCAAGACCTGAAAGACGCGGAAACCGGATCGTCGGAGAGCTGATCCGCGTCAGAAGATGGCCGCCACTGAGAACACAAGACGGACGCGCTGCTCCACCTGGAAGCCCCCCAGCCGAGCAGTGAGAAGAGAGCTGACTGTTAGCGGAGAGATTTCCTCTCTTCCTTCCCAAAAACATTCTGTAGAAAGGAGAGGAAAAAAAAAATTCCTCATCTCAATAAACGGACCAACCAGACGGTTTCTTATAGGGCTGTGTGCGACTGTTCCACGGACGCAACTTATACACCGATGGTGAGCCGGGGGAGGGGAGACGCAAAAATCGAAGTCATTATTCTCAAACGTGACGCAATGCAAATTAGCGGCGGAATCGAGCCGTGACCTTTTTTTTTTTTTTTTTTTTTTTTTTTTTACTAGTGAAATGAATTGTTTGCCAAATATGAAAAGTTTAGAATTCCGCCGCAAAACGCACTTGAAAGGAGTTCCCTGATTGGTACATAGGTTAGCGTACAGCCATGAAAAAAAACGAGACAAGATATCGAACTACAAGTCTCATCATCCATTTCAGGACAGAAAGGTCTGCGGGGGGGGTCCTTCAGATTGGCGCTCAATGTCTTTTAGGGGTCGGGGGGGGGGTTGTCCTTGTCAGGAAATGATGGTGGGGGGATTGGGCTCTGCCTGTGGAGCGACACTGCCGCCCGGTGGCAGGAACTGTGTACTGCAGAGCGTGATATCCGTCAAAGCGTAGAGAAGACGGCGAAAGCGTTCTGAAGGTCACCTGGTTGACTTTTTAAAGGACGGGCGCGCTTTAAGACACCGACGGGCGCGCTTTAAGACATCGGAACGGATAGCAAAGTACCAACAACAACGTATCTAAAATTAAAACGTTTTCTTTACAAAAAGTGACGAACGGTAATACTTTGTGACAATTTTTTTAGACATTTAGGCCGCACACCCCTTTAGCCTCCCCCCCTGCCAAACTGGATGGCGCCCGCCACATGGCAAAGCTCTCAATTTTTTTAAATTTTTTTTATTAATTTTTTTTTTTTTTAATTATAATATTAATTTTAAAAAAATAATAATTAAAAATAATTTTAAAAAAATAATTGTTTTATTTTTTTAATTATTTTTTTATTATTGTTTTTAATTATAATTTTTTTATTTTTTTTATTTTTTTTTTTTAATGAATTCCCTTTCTAAGTTATTTTTTTTCACACGCAATGAGGGATATAGGAAGGGGAGGGGCATTAATTGGCGTTTTTCAGCCGCGCGATAGAGAGCGATATGACTGTTAAAGGGGCAATTCTCGTTCTCAGATGGTAAATTAAAAAAAGCACATAGTCAGCCTTCCAGTAATGAGCCCTCCTCAATGGTTACACAATTTTTAATTTTTTTTTAACCCCGCCCATGCAGAACCACACCAATCGCCAACACCTCTTAACCTCGCCCACAGACAGAATTTTGCCAGGGGGTGGCCACGCCCGCTTTACAAGTTGAACCCCTCCACTAAATATGCTGCCCTCTCGGGACATCAACGCACCGCCATGTAGTGAACGGGCCCCAATACTGTAAATTTCAACATTCCAAGGGAAGCGGAAGTGCATGAGCTACAAACAGAGGCGGAATGACCAAGGGCCCGGGGTCAGTAGGGGGCCCCATGAAATGCCCCTGGTACCTTTTTTATAGGCTTTTTTGAATGTGGACAAGGACACAGGGGCCCAATAATCCTCTTTTGCCCGGGGGCCCCATGAGTTGTTAGTCCGCCCCTGGCTACAAAGTATCAATATCAATCTTTTCCTACATGGGCTCCATAGATTGTAATAGGGGGCAGCAGAGAGCAGAGGAGAGCGGCCAGGGGAACTGCAAACCGTAAGCACAATTTCCCGCACATTTCCTGCACAATTTCCCGCACAATTCTGCCAAAACGCTTTCCTCCTAAACAAATTTAGCATTTTTATAGCGGAAGATCGCCTTTAACCCGGGTTCACACTGACGAGAATTCCGCAACGCATCACAAATCGCACCCCGTTCACGCGAATTGCTGCCGGCGTGTATGTTAAACCCCCCCGAAATCAGTCCGCAAAGCGCGGTGCGATGTGCAGAATCGGATCGCATAGGTGTGAATACCCGTGCGATCGGATTCTAGTGCGGACCCAAAAAATAAAAAGGGGTCCTGCACCTTTTTTTGGCGCGGTGCGATTTGAGCCATACATAATGTACGGTTCAAATCGCACTGCACAGAATTCGCATGCGATTTGCGCGGGAATACGGGGCGGTTCCTGTGCAAATCACCTGCACCGCACATGTGATGAATTTTTAGGAAAAAAAAAAAAAAAAAATGATTCTTGAGTTATATAATATTGTGAGTGCTATAGGGCGTGGCCTTTTTTTCCCAGCCCCCAATTTTTTTTATTTTTTTTCAATGTCCATAATGGCGTTTTGCGTCGCAGGCCCCTCCCCCTCGTCCCTCGCTCCTTTTCTATGTAGAATGCTGCGAAGCTGCTTTACACTAACAGGAAAACTTGTGATATTACTCCAACCTGGAATCTTATTTATATTTTGTACGGAACGATCGCTTGTAAATAATTTTTTGTTTTTCCTGATTCTCTAAAATTTTTGTTTTTATAAAAAAAAGTGCGCAACTTTTTTTTTTTTTTTTTTTGTAATTTGAATGCACTCGCTAATTTTATGCTTCCAAAACGGAATGTTGGGGTTTTTTTTTTTTTTTTTTTTTTTAAGTGTAGAAATCTCGTTTTTTTTTACGCCGTTTCGATCGATGAGGATGGACGGTTGTCCTTATTGGAGGAGGCCGCCGCTGGAAATTCAGCGGGAAACCAATCGCGTTGCTGCTTTTTATTTTTTTTTTATTTTAGCCAATCGATGGTCTTCGGCTTCCGCGGCGATTTGTGGGATCGATTGCGCACGTGCTCGTTTGTGGACCACTAGAACAAAACTTATGTTGTTCTTTGATTACAATAATTGCGAGCAAATGAGCGCCGCGGTCAGCCGCCGCAAATCGCCTGCGTAGTTTAAGCCAAAATCTTTTTTTTTTTTTTTTTTTTTTTTTTTTTTACAGCCGACAAGCAGCGGCGGCGGCCTCCAGTAGAAGCGCCGACTGCCGCTTTCACTGTAAATCTGCAAAAACTTTATTGACAACGTAATGCAACAACTGTTGAACCGCAGGCAGCTTTGTGGAAGTGGGAGGGGCCTGGAAAGCGGGATGTCTGAGTCCCCGATATTTGTATATGTAAATAGAATATATATATAAATATTAAGACTTAGTTTTTTGTAAATAGACCCGATAATGTATGAAATACAAGTCTTGGGGGGGGGGGGGGGGGTTTTTTTTCCTTGTTCTGATATAAACTTGAAAAAAAAAAATTGAAAAAAAAATATTTTTGCTTTGCTGGTCAATAAATCGTATTCCTAAGGATGGTGGTTGTTGTGGTTATTTCGGGGGAAATGGTTTTTGAACCTCCTACTGCGTTCAATTCGTTCACCCGTGTGCATCGACTCGATCGTTCTCTGAAAGCAAATACACCCGTGTGCGCGGCTCGACTGAAAACGACCGACAGCGGATACACCCGTGTGCGCGGCTCGAACCGAAAACGACCGACAGCGGATACACCCGTGTGCGCGGCTCGACCGAAAACGACCGACAGCGGATACACCCGTGTGCACGGCTCGAGTGAAAACGACAGACAGCGGATACACCCGTGTGCACGGCTCGACTGAAAAAACGACCGACAGCGGATACACCCGTGTGCGCGGCTCGACCCAAAACGACCGACAGCGGATACACCCGTGTGCACGGCTCTCGACCGAAAACGACCGACAGCGGATACACCCGTGTGCACGGCTCGACTGAAAACGACCAACAGCAGATACCCCCGCCTGTACAGCGCAGCTGAAAACAACCGACAGCGGATACACCTGTGTGCACGGCTCGACCGAAAACGACCGACAGCGGATACACCCGTGTGCACGGCTCAACCGAAAACGACCGACAGCGGATACACCCGTGTGCGCGGCTCGACCGAAAACGACCGACAGCGGATACACCCGTGTGCACGGCTCGACCGAAAACGACCGACAGCGGATACACCCGTGTGCACGGCTCGACCGAAAACGACCGACAGCGGATACACCCGTGTGCGCGGCTCGACCGAAAACGACCGACAGCGGATACACCCGTGTGCGCGGCTCGACCGAAAACGACCGACAGCGGATACACCCGTGTGCACGGCTCGAAAACTGAAAACGACCGACAGCGGATACACCCGTGTGCGCGGCTCGACCCAAAACGACCGACAGCGGGATACACCCGTGTGCGCGGCTCGACCGAAAACAACCGACAGCGGATACACCCGTGTGCACGGCTCGACCGACAGCGGACACACCCATCGAATGTCAGCTGTTTTCAGTCGGCTGTGCAGATCGCTGTATTCGCTGTCATTTGTTGTTAGTCCCGCTGAGCAGGTGCCCCCATCATCACAGCTGACAGTCTATAGACTCACACCTACACAGGATCCATCTACAAGACTGCTGTTACTGGAGAGAACAGACGCTTCCATAATACAGGAGACTGCTAGAGAGCCTGAGTTACCGGAGACGTCTGTGGTGTCACAAGAGACTGACAGAGGCTGATCTGACTCCGAGACTGCAGGCATATTAAAGGACGTTCTACTACAATAGATCCCTAGAGACTGGCCCCGCCTTACAAGAGACTGTTTGGGATCAGGCGGCGGTCATGTTACAGGAGACTGCTAGAGATGGTTTTTAATTTACAAGAGACTGCTGCTATGTTACAAGAGATTGCTTGTAAATGACAGGAGACTGCTACTAACAGTGACTGCTGGCACGATACAAGAGACTGGCAGAGTCTGAGCTACAAGAGACTGCTACCATGCTGGACAAAACCGTTTCTAAGTTACAAGAGATGACTAGAGACTGCTCCCTTGTCACAAACACCATTAGTAGCTGACAGACGGATGCTATTATTCTGATTTAGGAAACTGGTTGAGCCGGCGGCCTCCATGTTACCAGAG